AAGAGGGGAACCCCCCAGCCTGTATGTATGCTGTGGATTCCTTCTCCCAAGGTGCAGCACCCTGCATTTATCTGTGTTGAACCCTATCCTATTCTCATCTGCCCACTTTTGTAGTCTGTCTAAATCTAGTTGCAGCCTCTCTCTCCCTTCAAGTGTGTCCACCTCGCCCCACATCTTAGTGTCATCAGCAAACTTGGACAGCGTGCTTTCCACCCCCTCATCCAAGTCGCTGATGAAGATGTTAAACAGTGCGGGCCCGAGGACCGAGCCCTGGGGTACCCCACTGCTCACATCTCACCAGGCTGAGTAAAACCTGTCCACCACTACTGTCTGGGTGCGCCCCATCAGCCAGTTTTTTACCCATCCAACTGTGCAGGCAACAAGCCGTTCATTCAGCCTGCGGATACATCTGAATAGAAGTGGAAGGCAAATTTAACAATAGATGTCGATGTCCTCAAGTGACTGGCAAGAGACTCGGTAGGCGACTAGTGAGCAGGACAAAGAAAGTTCCTCTGAGCTCGCCTGTGCCAGCTGCTCATCTAATGCTGCAAACTTAATCAGCCCAGTGCAAAGCAAGTCAAGGGAAGGAGAAACTACTTAAAAGCTACCACAGGCCTGACATTATGGAAGGATGGGAGACACCCAGAACCATAAATACAGCCATGAACATAACTATAGCTGTAAATATAGCCATGGGAGGAGCTGTTCTGTCCGTGCCAGGGAGAATAGCTGCAAAACACTCATATGGGATGGGTGAACCAGTGTAGATATGAAAAAAAACAAACCAGCCTGAATGTTCACTTGCTACTTGCACTAAAATGGACCAAATCTTGGGCTTTAGATCATTGTCTCCTAGCCATTTCCAGGTTCTCATGGCTGCACGTTAGATTATTTCAAGACAGGCTGGTTAACACAATTGCTCCTGCCAGGTAACATTGGAAATCTTGTGACTAAAGCTGGCTCCTCCATTGCAGCCTGCAGAGAGAGCTTGGATAAGCATGCGTGTCTCTGGATGCTTATTTGAAATGAACTTCCAAGCCAAGGCCCACCCCTCTTTCCCAGCGACATCACGGCAGCACAAAATGGACAGCCATAGTCAGATCTAGCTGAAGCGCCTGCATTTCCACCGGGCTATATTCAACTCTGGCAGAAGCAAGTGCAAGCCTACCGAGGGCAATGTGTGAATGAATGAACTGGGACCACTCGCCTGATGTCGGGATTTGAGAAGCGTACGTCTCTGCTTCTGATAAAACCACGCTGCATTTCTCTAGTGCTTTCCATCCAAAGATTTCAAGCACTTCCCTGACATTAAGGAGTTCAAGGTTGCATGCCCCGTTTCATCTCAAGCAAGGAAATATTGTCTCCATTATACAGATTAGGTTCTCTAAAAGGTCATTTAACTAATTAGTGAGAGTATAGGATCCGGGAGAAGTAGAGCTGGAAAGGACCTCCAGAGGTCACAGCTCGTGCAACCCCCTACCTAAGGCAGGATCCTTCCTACCCAAACCATCCCAGACAAACCCGTTGACTAAACCCTTAGGAAAAGCACACAGTCAGCCCTGACACAACACCTGAGTGAATAGGACCCAAATCCCCAGATTCTTAATAGTTTTCCAGCTATTAGATTGTCTCCACATATAAAAGCTACCATAGGACCTAAGGATAGTGCCTGGAAAACAGCTCTCCCTATTTAAGACTGGCAGTCCCTATTTTTTAGTAAAATACTTTCCATTCTGCACACCTTCCAGAAGAGCCTTTTATTGCCAATGTATTTCAGCGAAAGCGATGTACTTTTTTGCCCCCCAAGAGGTGCGATTCACAGCTCTCAAATGTAGGCAGTGGATCATTTTTATTCCCTCCATTACTAAAGCACTTAGAGCACCTGATGGAGGACCCAGGTCATATTTACAAGGCATTAAACACTCCTATAAAAAGGGAGTTCCCATCCCAATCTAAAAGCCAGACAAGACCACACCAGATGGATAAAAGCAAACAAACGGAGAGGAGGACAAAGTGAGCTAGACATCATCTGGATGAGCTTAACAAGTAGATGTGTCAGTGCATCGTGTGCCAGAGATGTAATCTAAGTGATGGAGGAGGGCTGGGTCAGACTTGGCATGCGTGGACTGACTGCTGGGAATTGGATATCGGAGCAGACCCTGGTTTTGCATCTCCGCAGGGTTTAGAGCTGGGGTTTTGGAGGCCAGCCTGTGCACTTGGATTTGAATTCAGAGCCTAAATGACCTTGCCCCCCTTCTTTCCTCTTCAAAGTTAGACAATATTGAGAAGTTTGTGCTCCCTTCTCTACAGGGAGCTTCCAAGTGCAAGTGCAGCCCGGAGCGCGAATGCCCTGGATAAATGCAAGTACCCAAAAGAGAGGAGATCCCTAATTCCAGGCAGCAGCGAGTCCTAAAACAACAAGACTGCAAACACTTCATAAAGAAGTCAAGCAAGGAGATGTGGACAGAAAATCCACTTCTCCCTTGATAGCTTTAACTGGCGCTGTGTGTACATTCATTTCTCTTGTGCTCATCTGCACATTTGTGGGGTTTCTGGGGGTTTTTTAAGGGTGCAAAGTAGTAGCAATAAGCCCTCTAAAGCGCAGATCCAAATCCAGCCCCAACCCTGCAGCTTTCAGGTAACCCGAAGAGTTACTTTGAAGAGCCACCACGGTGTCCAATGTTGGGCCCCCACTACAGAAAGGATGTGGGGAAATTGGAGAGAGTCCAGTGGAGGGCACTGAAAATGGTTGGGGGCTGGGGGACAGGACTGGTGAGGAGAGGCTGAGGGAACTGGGCTGATGTAGTCTGCAGAAGAGAAGACCGAGGAGGGGATTTGATAGCAGCCTTCACCTCCCTGCAGGGGTTGCAAAGAGGATGGAGCTGGGCTGCTCTCAGTGGGGGCAGATGACAGGACAAGGAGCAATGGGCTCAAGCTGCAGCAAGCGAAGTTGAGGTTGGATATTAGGAAAAACTCTCTCACGAGGAGGGTGGTGAAGCACTGCAACAAGTTACCTAGAGAGGTGGTGGAGTCTCCATCCTTGGAGGTTTTAAAGCCCAGTCTAGACAAAGCCTTGGCTGGGATGATGCAGTTGGGGCTGGTCCTGCTTGGAGCAGGGGGTTGGACTAGATGTGACCTCCTGAAGTCCCTTCCACCCTTATTCTCCATGATTGTCTAACCCACTGGAATAATAAAGATTTTTAAAAAATCAAAGGAGACGGATCCCAGGAGAAACTGTGGCAGGGAGCTGGGGGGGGGATGTTGCATCAGGACACAGTGTTTTCCTCCCGCAGGCTGTCGGGCAGAGCTGCCCCCCTTGCAAAGCCAGTGCTCCCAGCAGCAAACCAGCCCCAGCCCCCCAACCCTGGGATGCAGCTAGAAAAGGCTGGGAGCCAGTCCCAGGGACCCCGGCAGCTGGCTCTGGGCAGACACATGCAAAAAGGGCAGGGAAAATGGGAAAAGGCATTTCTTGTGAAACCGGAGTCAAGCCCAAGCCACTCCCCTTGCACACACCCCTTCCACCAGTCCTTAAACGCCCAATGGCAAGAGCATGCACTGGATTGCTTTGCAGAGAGCCTGCCAGGGGGTGCCTGCAAATTGTGAGTATGCCAGCTGCTGTGTGGGGTGCAGAGAGTGGCAGGGGCTTGCCAGGAGCTGGGGCAGCTCCAGCCCTGTGATCTGCAGCTGCTTTCCCCTTGCAGGGCGCCTTGCTCCCTCCAGGACCTGAGCAGCTCGGAGCAGGGCAGAGCCCAGCCTGTCTCTGGCTCCTCTCCCCAGCTCTTTGCACTTTGCAAAATGCCTATTCCATAGAGAGGGGAGAGGGGGGGCAGGCGTGCTGTCAGAGGTGGCAAAAAAAGGCTCAAGGGCTTTAGCTCAGTCCCTTTCACTGCTCTGATGGTCTCAGTGAGGATGTGGAGGGAAGACCTAAATCCGCACCCTGTGCCTGGGCACTTTGCACTGGTGACATGCAGTGCTTCGTTTCCTAATCCCTGGAGAGGAGGGGGGCTCAAGTGCTTTGCATTCATTCAGAGCAGTTGTGGCTGTCCTGGATAGAGCAGATTCATTCAGAGCAGTTGAGTTCAGGCTGGCCTGGAGAGAGAACACCTGGCCCAGGAACGGAGAGCAGATGTGGCACTGCGCGCAGGGCACCCAGCTGTGCTGCAGCTGTGCCTCGTGGTCCTCCTGCTATGTCCGATGGATTAGGTGCATGCAGTGCTGGGGAGAGGTGGAGCGAGCGGGGAATGGAAACCTCTAGGCGCTGCACAGCGGAGTTCAGCAGCAGGTGCAGGTTTCCTTCCAGCGTCCCATCCGCCTTGACTGGGTAGGATCAGTTGAGGGGCGAGAGGATCAGTTATCTACAACCCATTCAGCCCATGATCAGAGACTTGGAGGAGCTGCTTGTCTGGATCAGACCGGAGACCTGTGCTGCCTCTGACAATGACCAGCACCCAAAGCTTCCTAGATAGGTATCAGAAAGCCAGCAGTCTCATGGGATAGTCGGTCTCCCTCCCCCCTGGGTCAAGGTCACTGTCCTAACATGTAATGCTTAGAGACTGGGTTAAGACTGGAGACATGAAGCTTCAGCTGCCTTTCGGTTTCTTTTGCTAGCTAGTTAGACCTTTGGCTACCTCTGCTACCTGTAGAAAGATCTCAGCAGGGACTTTCGTTGAGGGGCAAGGAGACGATGGATGCTGGGGGGGGGGGGAACTGCCCACCCCGCATTGCACTCATTTCTCAAAGGCTCTCAAAGAGCCGCCAGCCACTTTTGGCCATTGCTGATCTGGGGCATGTTTGATCCCTTGACTTAGAGGTAAGAGCCCTACGCCAGAAACCGCTTCACGGGCACCTCCTCTACTGTGACCTGAACCCGCAAGCGAGAGAAGAAAGGTGTTGGGTCATGGGCAGAGAAGGGGGACGCAGAGTTCAATTCCTAGCCCCCCGACTCCCAATGTGAGTTGTAGCGTCTGTTTTATTCACAGTCCCCATCTGGAAAGCTCCCTGGGGACTGGGGACTTATAAGGCTCATTTAGCAGGTGCCATAGAGGTGAAAAACATCACAACAGAGAACCTGCCCTCTTTCACTGCTTGGGACTGGTGTTGTATAAATCCTGGAGCGTAGGCATTATCAATTCTTCTTCGCCGTTGTGTCTCCAGTCCCATCTTTCTATATGGGCTGTTCCTAATCTTCTACGCAGGCCGCTGCTTCTGGCAGTGGTGTTGCCACGTCTTGTGGGGCGCATTGTGGTGCTACAGGGCATCTCTCAGATGATCCATGGCATTATGTATGTTTGACAGGCATGGCCAAAACCATTCCCTGACTGTCTGGAAGGGGAGAACTTCTGTGTGACAGCCTGTATGTCTCAGATTAGGAGTGAAAGGAAATATTTGTTAACCACTGCAAAAGGAGACTTTGTTCCTCTCACACTCATACATGATGGACTAGCTAATATATTAGCAACTAGCAGGTCTGCGTGTGCCCTCTCGCCTTCTGTTGGACTGAATAGGGTTGCTCAAAAGTTTTATATCTCTTGCTAAAATCTACTACTGCTTCCATAACGAAGAGTCTCCTCTAGCTCAAGTAAAGACTTGTGCTTTGGGAACTCAACAAAGTCCTAGGCTCTGTCTGTGATGTATGTGGTTCGCAGATGTGCATCCACGTACCGCCGGTCTTTTTTTAATATGATCTTATGAAAAAGGCAGATCTGAACATCCCAAATCACTTAGACTGTCATCATACCTATAGGCTGGGGGGCGACCTTATCAGCTCCACTGAGGCAGAAAAAGATCTTGGAGTCACTGTTGACTCCAGGGTGCACATGAGCCGTCAACGCGATGAAGCAGTCGGCAGAGCCAATCGCACCTTGTCGTGCATCTGTAGGTGCTTCACAAACAGGTCCAGGGAGGTGATTCTCTGCCTCTACGTGGCACTGCTCAGACCGCAGCTGGAGTACTGTGTCCAGGTCTGGATGCCGCAGTTCAAGCAGGATGCAGACAACCTGGAGAGGGTCCAAAGAAGGGCCACTCACCTGATTAGAGGCCTGCAGGGAAGACACTATGAGGAAAGGCTAAGGGACTTTAACCTCTTTAGCCTCTCCAAGAAAAGGTTGAGGGGGGACCTTGTGGCAGCGTACAAATTCATAAGGGGAGCAACATGAAGTAGGCGATGATCTGTTCACCAGGGCACCCCCCGGAAGGACAAGCAACAATGGCCATAAGCTACTGGAGAGAAGGTTTAGACTGGACATTGGGAGGAAGTTCTTCACGGTCAGGGTTGCCGGGATTTGGGATTGCCAAGGTGGTGCTCGCCCCATCCTTGGGGGTCTTCAAGAGGAGACTGGACAGGCACCTGGCTGGGATCACATGACCCCAGGGAGGTGACTCTCTTCTTGCCTGCCAGGGGCAGGGGGGCAGGCTAGATGGCCCACGGAGGTCCCTTCCGACTCTAATAAGAGGTACTAACTGAATGTGCAGTAACTAGAATTACTGCACAGTAGCGCTGGCGCATGCCTTTTTAGTGATGCTTACTGCTCATTAGCCTAATAATACTGCACAGTAAGCTATTAGCATGGTTAATAACTGCTCTGCTAGTGCACAGTGCTATTAGGCTAATGCGCAGTAAGCGTCGCACGTAGACACACCCTCTGGCTAGGGAATAAACACAAAAAGGTCAGATTTGAATACAATCCTAATTCTTCCGATAATGGGAAAGTAGGGTTGGAAGGGACCTCACAAGGTCATCTAGTCCAGCCCCTGCTCAAGGCAGGATCACCCTGACTAAACCATCCCAGCCAGTTGTCCAGTCTTGCCTCTTGTCTAGCAAAGTGCTGGTAGCAGCAGACGGAGGAGCATTTGGTCAAAGCAGCACGGCAGACGCAGGACTCTTTCAGGGATCTAACATTAAAAGCGTGAGTGGATAATGCTAGGAGAGCAATACACTAATTATTCACACGTAGGACCCCAGGCTCACATGTCTGGAAGCTGTCTCTGAAACGGTTTGTGTGGTAGCCTTTACCTAGATACAGCCTGATGTCTGATGGCAAATGCTAACGTTCTGTATAATTTGGGCTTGATGGCAGACCTATCCTTCTGAGAAACCCAGGACTGAAACGGGCACTGGCACAGCCGCATGTGGGGAAGCTGGGATGGCTAGTGGGAATGTATGCTGTACAAGCAAATGTCTTATTTCAGCAGTTTGGATGGTTTCTGCTTACCCTGGGGGTGGCTTCAGCTATTGTTTTGACCGTGGCTGTCTCATTCCCAAAGCACAGCCAACTAGTAAATCATCAGCGAGGACTGAAGCTTACAACAGGCATAAATTACCCAAACCAAGGAAGCCACTAGCATGGGTAATATAAACTCAGGCTGTAATGGGACCGCCATGTCAGCACAAACAGGCTGAAGCAAAAAAATGCTGTGTCCGGAGCTTGTCAGAAATGCCATATCTCCGTTTCCTCCTGCTACTGTCTGCCGAAAGATAGTCCTGCGCATCGCCAAGTTAAGGCGCTGTGAATTTGTCTGGGGGATTCCTGGACAGACTGCATTCCCCGGGGTGAGCGGGTAGGGCCTCCCTTACTTTGGCCATGCTTGATGTCTCACCCGCGGGTTGAGTCCCAGGATCGTTAGCCCCCCACGGTACCATTTGCAAGGGGCGTCCTGTCCCGGTTCCAGGTCTCTCGGCACTTTGAGGTGGTCGCATTGTCTTCACTGCTTGCCACAGACTGGAGCAAAATGTCACGGTCACTTAACCAGCTACTGCCTTTTAGCAATGGGCAAAGCGGTGCCTGTGTGGTGCAGGTGTGTGTGCACGTGTGCGTGCATATATGTGCGTGTGATCTGATTCTCATTTACACTGATGTTGGTATCATAGGTCAGTGGGGGGCACCCTTTTTAGCAGGTGTGCTGCAAATTAGCTCCATACCTTCTCCAAGTGCCACTCCAAACCCCTTCCCCTGCCTGATCTGCTGCTCTGCTTTCTGCTTCCTCCACCATGCTCCCTGTCTAATCTGCTGCTCTGCTTTCTGCTTCCTGCACTGTGCTCCCTGCCTGATCTGCTGCTCTGCTTCCTGCTGTATGCACATGCTCCTTGCCTGATCGGTTGCTCTGGTTTCTGCCCTGTGCTCCTCTCCGGCTCTGCTTTCTGCTTCCTGCTCCATCTGTAGGTGTGCTGCCTGCCCCTCTCTGATCCGCCGCGTGCCCATGCCGCTTGTAGCACATCTGCTGCAGGTTGGCTACCCCTGCTGTGAGTTGTACAGTCAGCTCATTATGGTTACGAAGGGCCTTAGGGATAACGTTTTAACATGACCTTAACTACGGGAGGCACAGTGATTCTCTCCCTGCCGTCTTGTGAATCTAGAGCCTTTGTATCTCTTCGGAGTCCTGGTTACATCTCCTAATTGCCTCCTTGTATTTTGAATACCCTAGTTTATGGTACTTGCGATTAAGTTCGCTTAGCCTGAGTTTCCAAACGAGTGCCCCTCTTTAGCTTGCATTACAACTTGCACATGGCCATTTCACCTTCCTGGTGTTTATTCTCTTGCCTTCCTGTTTCCCTGCCTGTTTATTGAAGATTTCTGTGACCTGGCTGTCTCCAAGATAGGCATTAGGATGAATTTTCTGGCATCTGACTTTAGGGTCTTTCTGTTGAACATCCTCCTTTTCTTTCTTTATTCCCCCCCCCCAAAATCCCCTTTTCTATAGTTCTAGTTTTTGATCAGATGCTTCCCCTCGATGTCCTCCAACTCGGTTCTGTTGTGGTCCCTTGAACTTCAGGGCTCGCACCACAGATACTTCTGGAGCCAGCTTCTCTCGTTACCCAGGCTCTGTGGAGAATAGCGCCGCAGCTGTGAGCACTGGCACTACCGATCCCAGGATATCATTATTTGAATGTCTCGAGCCGCAGTTTTCAACCTGAGGTCTGCGGACTATGTCTAAGGGGTCCACGAAAGATGACTGCGATCAATCAGAAGTATGTGGATACCCACACTTACAATTCAAAGGGGTGCATACCGCCACCTGATTTTTTTGTAGAGGTCTGCAGGTGAACAAAGGTTGAAAATCCCTGCTCAAAGAAGCCGCCTGGTTGGTCTCTGCTGTAGTTGTGGGTGCTGTGACACCAAGGTTGGGTCTCTTACACTGAAGGGTCTAATATGGGTCTCGGTACTCGCCTGCAGACACACACCTTTGAAAACGTTGGCTTCAAAATAAATATGGCAATGAAGGCAGCTCAGTTCGAACTGCTGCAGGACAATCCATGACACGGGGACCCTTTGGCCCAGGTAATGACTCAACTATCACAGGGTCCAAAGCAACGGGTAGCATAAGAAATGATGTAGTTGGGGCTGGTCCTACCTGGAGCAGGGGGTTGGGTTAGATATGACCTCCTGAGGTCCCTTCCACCCTCATTTTCTATGATTCTGTCATCAAAGTCAATTAAAAAGTTGTCTGGCCTGTCGCAACCCTGGAATTAGCTGGCCTGTAAAACTAAGTTAAAAGGTTTGCCTTCTCTCAGTTGCTGGACTATGAACCATTTTGATAGCCATGTACCTTTCCCTGGGTCGCACGGAGTGAATGGGTTGATGCCCATGGGTTTTACCCATTGCATTTGAGAAGCTGGGGGATTACAAATGGTAACAGAGTCTCATAGCTGAGGTTTTAAGTTTAGTCCATCCATTTGTGTGTGCCAGAGCCTTAGCTATTTTCACAGGAAACAAGCACAGAGCTCACTCGCAGGCCTGTCTCCAAAGGGTATTTAAAAACCTGCCAAAAACCAAAAAGGAGGAGAGAAGCAGCATCTCCACATAGTATAAAGCATTTTCTGCAACCATTAATATTAAATAACGGAAGAAGGACACACAGTTGTGACATGAATTAATGATGGCCTCTGCAGTATAACAAGTTATTTCACTGTAACGACAGTATTTCCATGAAAAGCGGTGCTGATTGCCATATAA